GGGCGGGCGACTTCAGAAATCTACTGTAATCGCCGTAAAATAGCTTAAAATTTAAAATTCGGAATCCCCTCCTTTAATGACACCTTGGTTTTGAATCTTTCTCTCGAACGACAGCCCGCACCCATCCTTGTGAGACGGGAGAAGACTCAGTACGTGGCCGAGAAACTTCTTCCCATGGACAGGTAACTAGCTAAAAAATCGTTAATTTCTCGAAACTGAAACTAGGGATTTCGGTATGAAGTTCAGTTGAGCGAAAACGAAACAGCTTGACAACCGCGGCGGCTAGCCTTCGATTTAAATTTAGTAATACGGCCGCGGGTCCATTTATTCAGTTTTCAGTTTTGTCTTAATAATCGCCTTTCGACTTAGATTAACTTTCCGCCGCCGAGCTGCTGCCACTGAATTTTAACCAAAAGCCAAATTTATTGCACCTGTCCACTCGGGCTTTCGCTCCTCGCCGCATCCCCCCCCCCCCCCCCCNGGGCCCATTTTTACCGACGCTTGGCTGAGTTCTGAGCCACCGGATTCGGGTTGCCAATTTTCGTATTACCCTCGACGTTTTATCAACTTCTCTTGCAGCCACTGGCACCAAGTAGACACGGAGGACGAGCTGGGAAACATTTTTAAGAATCTCGGGGGGGGGGACCACCAACGTCGAGCGGATTTAAGGGCGCAGATACAAAACGACACAAGTTCATAGAGGGCCGTCCATAAACAGGATTTCTGGTTATTTTCATTTTGGGAAATCCTGATTTTGAATGCTAAATCCTCATTTTTGTAAATTCTAATTTTGGCGAATGTAACAGGGTGTCTACTAAAACAGGCTAGTCAAAAATAAGTACTTTCACAGTACTTTTTCGGTACATTCTCGAGAAATTCAGTACCTCCTCCGACAGAAGAATTCCGTACTTTTCCAGTACTTCCATTTGACGAAATTATCAAAAATTTGATTGCGACAAAAATTACAAAAATTTTAAAAAAATTCCGGACCTTTTTGCGGAATTTCTGTAATTTTTCAGTACTTCCGGACCGCCCTTAAAACGTCAGCACTATTTCCGGACTTGTAGACACCCTGATGTAACATCACAAAAATAGTTCGATAAAAAAATCCGATCCGACGTTCAAACGACTTGTTCTTGCGATCAGATAGAGAGTGGCTTGCGAGGTTGCCGTACGGCGAAGCAATGGACTCGTAATTTTGTTACTCTTACGATTCTGTTGGAGCGGAGGCATCCATAAATTGATGAATTTATGTTCTCACAAATAGTTCGCGAGTCTTGCCCTCGGCACCGCACCGAGGGGGGAAAATCAAAGCCGAGACGAGAGCAATTGGCGATGGACGAGTGTTAAAAGGGCATACGTCGTATTTTCACAGCGTGTGTTTGTTGATGTTGGACGACGCAGCGTGAGGGGGGGGGGGGT